GAGGCATCTCCAACAGCTACAGACCTTCGAGGTGTTTTATTGGAAGAGACCATAAGGCTCCGATAATTAAGATGTCTATCCTTTTGGATGGCATTATTATGTACCCCAAGCAAGTGCTGTGGAACAGGGCGTTGCTGGAATCCATTTTTATTCATAACAAATCCTACTTGTCTGCTTCTAACCTGGTCTCGGTTGTTTGAGTTGCGAACCCTAGTAGAGGACGAGCAAGCACGAACAGTGCTCGGCCTTGAGACCTGATTATGTGCTGTGGATTCTGGCATCAACCGCACAATGTTGCGAGCAGTATCTTGGTTAACTTGTGGTGCCACAGAAACCAATGAATCAGATACTTTTGGAACTGGCAAGGCACTACTTTTCAAAAGCCGGAAGTTCTCCCGCTGAATTTTCCATAGCCGCTCCTTATCAGTAGCATTACAATGATCAACGCTGGATGAACCGGTGCCCCAATGTACACATGGTGCAAGACAGTCACAGACATAACAGTGGCACTGCATTTCAAAAAACAATAAACTTTGAAACAGCAGAATAGTATCTATTTCATTATTAGTACCAAATGGTAGGTTTCAAAGACGTCAAATTTTGAAACAACTTTCCGTAATCCTGTGTCAGATATTACCATGTTACAATGCCTTTCATGAGGTGTAGAACTGAAAGGAAATTTAGCACAATCATGCCGAGGATGAGGGTAGTCTCTGCATGCAATCTACAAACAATTGAAAGAAAACACTTGTCAGAAATATGATGCCAACAGTCGATTATTTTTTTTGGAAAAAAAAAAAAAGGACTTCAACCAAGTATCAGTTGTTACAATCGTCATAAGATTATCTAACTAAGCTTCTTCAAAATTCTAAAGTTTCAATAATAACATTTGAATCCTTTTAGCCATACACTATTCAAGTTTTCTACAGCATCTCATTTTGTTTCGGGAGAGATATATCCTTACTCAAGTATCTCAATTGAACTATGGCCAGAATCTAGCAAATTGTTCAAACGTAAATGTTATCACTTGCTCTAGTTTCTTTCGTGCAACCAAGTGTATACTTCGCCATTTTAACCTTAACATTTGTGAATATGTCGAATGAGCAATCCAACTTTCAACCATTCAAAAGCCCAGTATGATCAAATGGTTTTTTACATGCATCAGCTGCCACCCCTGTAAAGGCCTGAGGTCCATGACTTTAACAAATGGTTTTTTACATGCATCAGCTGCCACCCCTGTAAAGGCCTGAGGTCCATGACTTTAACCAGTTTCAATTCAGCGCAACTATTGCCAGAGTCTAGCAAAATTGTTTGAATGTTCACTTTCTCCTGATTCCTCCATGCAACCAAATTTGTACTTTACCTTTCTAACCCTGACCTTTGTAACTATGTAGAATGAGCAATTCAATTTTCAACTACTCAAATAACCGAGTACTGTCAAATGGTTTTTATTGTCTTTACATACATTAGCTCCCATGCCTTTCAGGCCTGACGTCCCAGACCTCATCCTTTCTCGTTAGTTCCGAACTTCGCTTCAACCACCATTTTCCACAGCACACCCTCTTCCATCATAAATCTCCAAAGTCATTTACATTGTAGAGCCATGTTCATCTCCACCAAGCATCTCTCTCCCAAACCTCCCCGGGAAACAGCTTCTTAATCTCCTCCAAGCTACCAGATGATATTTACTTTTTTTTCTTAGAATCACCCCACAAGAATCTACATTGAATGGCTTCCCACATTTTTGCATCATTCTTCGGAATAGTCAAGAAAGACATGAAACAAATGGGTAAGTTCCCAACGTGCTTTTGATGAGCATAAGTCTCCCCCTTCAGAAAGAAGAGCTCTCTTCCGTCCTGCCAACCTTTTCTCAAATCTACTCACTACCAGCTCCCACTTCCCCACCTCTTTATAATTGGCCTCCAATAATTATCCCAAGTATTTAATGGGTAGTTTTACGGCTTTCCAACCCACAACTCCCGGTAACCTCTCAACATCCCTCTCAATCGCCCACTCTCACCATTTCGGACTTGATTAAGTTTATAGATACAGCCTATTAAGCTTATAGGCCTAAAATCCTTGATATTCTATATCCCTCCCACGTTAGCAACGAGTACCAGAAATGATGAGTTCAGGATTTAACAAAGAACCCTGTTTCATGTAGATCCTTGAAGAGCTCCACGACGTCATTCTTCATGAATTATCAAAATTCCCGAATAAAACTCTTGTTAAAACTATCCAGACCAGGAACTCAATATGATTACTTTTGTTTTTATTATTTTGTATACATATCTTTTTCTACCACATTATGTTTGCTAGTTTATGTTAACATGCTTTACTAAGAGAAAGGCACAACAAAAGCCAAATTGTTCACAATGCAGGTTGATTTGGAACATTGTCTTTTTGGGTTGAACGCTGAAATGCTTGATCATTTGCTTTTACTATCTATTGATTTGGAACATTGTCTCCAAGGAAAATGGCTTTGGAGGTTTTCTATAGAGAAGGAGCGGTTGTGGAAGCAAGTTGTTAGGGTGAGATGGGGTGATTGGGAGAGGGAGAGTGTGAGGAGGCGTTTCGCCCGAAAGATCACCGCACGACATCGATCCCCTATGCGTCTCTGCTACTTGACTTTGCAATCTCAGAATGGCGCTATATGAAATCTTGTGGTACTTCAGCACATGGTAAGCCAACGAAAT